GATATTCCTCGACCGCTCGCATGCTGGAGCACGGATAGCACCACCTGCAGATCAGGATGCCTCGACATCCTCTTATATCATCAGACAAACGTTGCCTTCCACACTTCTGGAGCTGCTCCTTCCGACTCTCCGATCGTACCTTGAACGTGCTTATCCTCACCTCGCACCACTTGCGACACAGCTTGCCTATTGTAGTTCTGCTTTAGCACGCGTAGGGATGGTAAGTGTTATACATTTTTCATTCATCTCGCGTTAAATTGGTGCGCATACAGGATTTTCGTGCGCTACTATCACCACTGATTTCACGATCAGTCATCAGCGGGTTTGTACGAGATGTACGACTCGGTGCGGAGCATGAATGGTCTGGCGTGCTCGCCAAGCACGTCACGAACAAACCTAAGGCCTCTACTCCTTCCATCTGGCTGGTTGCTACACCTAACAGTGTGCCTGCATTCAAGACGCTCGCTCTCTCGCCATCCAATGCTTCGCATTCTCCGCCGCAAGTGCTAACCGCCTTCCCGCCGCTTGCGAAAATGTTGAACGCATATATTCGTGCGCTAAACAGGCTACGCATGCTTGCGCCTGTCGATGCGTTGTGGGGCGTCGTGGATGGTGCCGAAGGGTGCCTTGCAAATACAGGCGACGGTCTACTGCAATATGCCAAAGACTGGCGAGGTGGGGATGCGAAAGAGATACAGATTCTGCAAGCAGCTGGGGCAGCATATACCCGAGTTCTTGTTCCTTGGCTGCAACGCGCTATTGTGGAGGGTGTTTTCAGTGCCTCGCTCAATAATCGTCAATCTGTTGGTGACGGAGCTGGAGACCCCGTTGTAGGCGAAACAGGTAAACGTGAGCTGTCTTTCATAGTTAGAGAGTGGGAGAGTTGGCTAGGCTCCACAGGAATATAATGTAGAGATGCGATGGCAAAGCGATCGATGCCCTTGATCTTGATTTGTTTCTCTGATTGTTAGTGTTCTTGATTCCATGAACCAATGAGCCAAAACGACATTGCCACCCACATAGTTACGTGGTTCTTTCTGTTTGGAAATATATATTGAAATACGAGGTGTCCGTCTTGTCGGGAATGTCTTGCTAGGAATGCTCTACGGTGCTCCGACGTGCAGCCGCCTTGCATGTAGCACTCCCCGGGAAAAGGAGCGACACCAGACCAAGTGATGCTAAGTGTAGTTGCTACAGGGGCACACCTATTTCTAAGCTGAGAACACGTGCCTTGTCGTTCACTCACGTGTGCACTAGCACTCTTTCACTCAAGGCTAGTATACCTTGACCACCTTAACATACTGGTATGCTTGTTCAGCAGTGATCTTGCCCAGTGACCCTATTTCACGCGCTCGTGAGCTGTGTCATCAGGCTCTCAGGTCACGCGTTGAGTCAGGGATAAAAACCGACCCTCAAAATGTACCGAGGTCCGACCGACGCACAAACTTCGCGCGGGTATTGTGCACCAATCTGCTTCTGAATGATGCTCAGAATGACTGGCCAGATAAGTGGTTGCTTGTGCGCGCAGCGAAGGCCTTGGAAAACTCTATGCATTGGCTATTTCTTACCTACAAAACGGTTCCCCTTGGCTCATTTGTGTGCGGGGTGTGTCAAGCCTGTACCTTTGGGGATCGAAGAATTCCTTCTCTTTGATCCCGGACCGCATGATCCTGTCATACGTCACGATGGATGAATATTCACTTCGCTTATTCAGAACTTGTACTTAAGCCTACCTGCTTAGCAGGAGCACTCTCCAACCGCCTTTTCTTAGACGTTTGTCCTACTAGATCATGGCAAGAGATGTTCCAACGAGCCGTAGAGCGGTTTTGCTTGCCATTTTCATTGCGTTTGGTGGGTCCATTCTCGTCACTGCCATCCTGTGCTCATCGAACTCTTCCTTGCAGGAGGTGCGCGGTTTTCATATACACACTATAAAACGTACGTCGTTCAATAGCACTGCAAAGCACTTCTTTGCTTACATGGGCAGTAGATTGATACACATACGGTGATACAGGCTTCCTGTTTGGGTATGATATGGGTGTCATTTCCGTATGTACTCTCATACTTCCTCAGTCCTCGGCACATCCGAGTCTAAACTGTTCGTCTACTCTAGGGATGTTTGATTATGCCAGACTTTATTCGCCGATTCGGCCAAGAAGGAATGGATGGTCAGTACTACCTATCAAGTTCGAGACAATCGATCATTGTCTCTCTTCTGTCGGCTGGGTAAGACTACGATATTTGATTCTACTCTGTGCTGACACTCATACCCGTCGTAGCACATTCTGGTGGGGAAACTATATATTGTTACTCTTATAATAATCTGACGATGCTTAAAGTGGAGCAATCGCTCAAGCATTCACATCTGATCGGCTTGGACGCCGTGGATCCATTTTATTCTGGTCGGCTATCTTTACTGTTGGCGTGGCTATCCAAACTGGCACGACATACTCTCTTGTTCAGTTGGTAATAGGGCGTTATATCGCAGGTTTAGGTGTTGGTTCATTATCAGGTTGGTGCTGATGTCAGGATAAGACTGTGTGAATCTAACTACATCTATTTAGCTATTGTGCCCCTGTACAACGGAGAAACGGCACCGAAAGCTATTCGTGGTACGATCTTGGTCATCTACCAAGTCCAAATTATCTCGGGGTCCGTGAAGTCCTCCTCCTCTGTCGGAACACTCGCTAACGCTTGCTATCTAGCATATTTTTGAGTTATGTACTTGAACTCGGAAGTCACACAATTAAAAACTCTGCGTCTTGGCGACTCCCTATTGGATTGCAAATGGTCTGGGGCATCATACTTTTGTCTGGAATGTTTTTCCTTCCAGAATCTCCGTACGTGGAATGCTGAAAATTTCTCATTTCAAACTGACGAATTTGACCTTTACTAGCCGACACCTTCTAGGAACTGGACGAAGTAATGAAGCGCGCAAGGTAGTTGCAGAACTCAACGGAGTTCCTGAGGACGACCCTCTTGTCATTGAAATTGTCGAGGAACTCGACTTTGCTATCAGAGCAGAGAATGAGGGTGGCAAAGCGACTTGGTTAGAATGCTTTTCAACGAGAAATGCACTTTGGCGTCGGACAATCAATGGCATGATGCTTCAATTTATTCAGCAGCTTAACGGCCAGAACTTTTACTGTAAGATCCCTAATGCTGATTTATTTTTTATCAATAATGCTATTGTCGACAGACTACTATGGAGATACCTTCTTTCAGAGTGCAGGTGCAGGGCGAGTCTTGAATTTCTCTACTTAATCCAATTTAGCTCATGTAATGTCAGGCTTTCACCTTACATCATCCAGACGGTTCTTGGAGCTGTGTCAGTTTTTGGAACTCTCCCCGCACTGTACTTTATCGAGGCTTGGGGTCGCCGAAAGGTATTCCTTCTTCCGTCGAACGGTGGGAGGAGAAATTTACTTTTTCCTCTAGTCCCTTCTACTTGGCGCAGCTGCCCAAGCTGTCTGTGCACTAATCGTTCGTGCACACTATCCGTTGACAAACATCGTTGGACTGATACTTCCACTAGGTTGCTGTGGTTGGGTATACCACCCTTGCGCCTACCGGAACACCAACTTCGGCACTTACTGCTCGTAATAGAGCTGGGGGCGACGTCGTTATCGCTTTTGCAGTATTTCAAGTGTTCAGCTTCGGTACGACTTGGGGACCTACTCCGTGGGTGTACCTTGGGGAGTCTTTCCCTCTTCGAGTGCGCCCCAAGTCAATTGCTCTCGGCAGCGCGACAAGTACGATTGCTCCATTTTCACTATTTGAATTCGTTACTCACGCTTGTCCAAGACTGGTTCTGGAACTTCATGCTTTCATTCTTCTCTCCAAGGATTGTCGATCGGTGAGTCTAAGCTACAGCTAAATGTTCTGAAAATATTTCTCGGTTGTCTGAACACCTCACTAGGATCGGTCCAATGATAATGATGGTCTTCTTCGGCATGCTTGTCTTTGGATACATCTACGTGTATTTTGCCATTCCTGAGACCAAAGGTTTAACTTTAGAAGAGGTAATAATTCATTGCACGTTCTAAATTTCTGCTCATCTAATGAACAACTAGGTGGACGAGTTGTACCGCTCTGGCATTCCGCCCTGGCGATCAGTAGGCTGGCAACCGAGTGAGAAGCATCATCACGAAGTGCATGAGAAAGGAACTTCGGACTCGGTGGAGAAACCCTGAAGATATATATGCATCGCAATACTACGTATTGATATGATAGTGCCCATGTACTTGCACGCTGACCATGTTATTCTAAACGATGAGTGAGTCATGTTTTTTTCACAGACTTTATTTCCGATGAGGGAAGACAGCATAGAATGAGGCAGGTATCAATCATAATAAGGCATGGCAATAGTAACTATAAGCCTACAACTGCGAAGTAGGACGTGCACCATCCGGATCCACTTACAAGCTGGGGTTCACGTTGTTTGCAACGCCTACTAGTGATCGACCAGAACGATCAGATTTAGAAAGTGCTCGTAGTACTAATTTCATACTGGAGGTAACTGGACTGCACAGAAATTTTCACCGATTCGAGGCGTCTACAGACACAGCAGAAACATTGGTGAATATGAAAGCGCTTGCAAATCGACCTTGAGAGACGTGTCAGGATCAGATTAGCTTGAAGGTGAAACATGAGGAATTTGGGTCGTGATAGAGTCCAGGAGCATCATGATGCATCATGTGCTATGTACGCCCTCCATCGCAATTTGGGAAAAGCGTCCACGAGTTATTTTGGGCTCGGAAGTAGTCCCCATGCGTACTCAAGTCTGCTTGCAAGGTGGGTGACCTTGAGCGGATCTAAGATGACGGTGGGACAGGAGCCAGCGGCCTAAGCCTAAAGCAAAGCAAGCAGGCTGCGATGATGACGGCTAAGTACGAACATGGTCTAGTGACGTGCTTCAAGTTAATTATAAGCTACGTAGTGCATCTGGGTTTGATGTAGATTTGGCAGGCGAAGCGCGGTGTTTGAAATGAAGTTCGAGTTGTGCGAAAGCTTCAATTTGAAGAGTTTACTGAAAGGGTCACTGGTAGATTGTCGATAGCTTCTAGAGCAGCACACAATGCCCGCGGAACCCCTACTTCAACGATAATCAACAAAAAATAACCGTAAATTTGACGTAAATGCGACTGCCAGTGGGGTTACAAAAGTCATATGAAAAGTAGTCGGCTGAAAGCTAGAGAAACGGGAGGACAAGAGTGGCATATATGAGAAACTAGATGAGAAGCATGGCAGTGACATATATATCAAAACGAAATTTACGAGGTACAAGAAAAGCTAGCGCCAGATTCTGTGGAAAGATCTAATAGATTCACATGGCTTTGCGATCGGGCCCTGGCAACAACGGGACAAGTCTAGTTTGGCGTATTTTCGGGCCCATGGTGCCAAAGTACCTGCAATTCCAATCGAGTTAAGTGATGGTTCATACCAACGAGAAAGTCTTATTACCTTTGACTTTCAAAACCCCAAGAATGGCTTGCCCGAACCCAGTTCGCTGCCCCGTTAAGGTACTCCTTGACTAGGACGTCGACGGAAGGCCCCCATGAGGGAACCTTCGCAAGACCGTCAATAAATCGTTTCTGAACTTCAGTGTGATAATGTGCTGCCCAAGCCATCGCACTGCCACTGTCGAGGTCCAGTTCCAACATGACAATGCTGATCAAATTATGGAATTCGTTCCCAGCCGCTTGCTCCTTGCTGTACGACGTCATGTCCTGTGAAGGATGTTAGCAGACCGCAAATTATGACGCCCTCAATATCACTTTACATTATCGATAAATATGAGCTCTGTGATGCAATTAGTAAGATCCATGATGATGGGATGGTAGAACACTTCATCAGGAAGGTCCATCCCCATCTCTAATATTGTTAAAGAAGGTTTTAACCCAACAGTTGCGCACCGGAGCTTGATGTAGTCATCGAGACTGCGCCTACGGCCTTGCTCACGGTCGAGGGCCTCGACAACTACTGAATTAAGGTATTCATCGAATGTTTCAAGGAAGTGACGTTGAGAAGGCAGGCTTGCGGATTGGATTGCGCGAGCCCAAAATCTATGCAAAAAACCCTTGGGCTTCAGATGATCGTCAAACAAGTCAGAAGTACTTGCACTTACTGTCGCGCAATTTCGCCGAGAATGCATTCGTCTTCTGGTCGTATCTTATGGGGATTGTGTAAGGCATCGAGCACGATGCCCACCCTTTCCTTCGTGACTGCTTCATTCTCCATGTCGGTATATTCCTCCAAAATGAAGAATAAATTCATCAAGTCAAAACTGCTATGGAGGTGTTCTATTTTGTTCAGGAACGGAATCAGGGTTCTGCGATGCGTCAATTGCCAGAGTACGAACCTCTTGGTGCGTTGGGATAAGCCAGTGCTGATAGGCGGGCTATAAGAATATGTTAATCATCGTCAGAATATAGGGTTCGTGACATAGGTCGCACCAAAATCACATTTGTCGAATGCTTCTTGTGATTTAGGACTCAGTGCCTTGAAATCACGGAATGAAGCATCGACTTCAGCTTTCACATCCTCGTAATGAGGATTGATGGTACGAGGCCAGGGCCAGTTAACCATAGTGTCTGGGAGGTATATCGTCTTTGGGCGAGTATCCATGACTTCCGAAATATAGTTTCTGATGAGGAATGCAAAAGTTGAAAGAAGGGCGGATTGTCGCTGGTCCAGTCCAGAGCTTCCCGCAGAACTTATATAGTACGTGCCCAGGTCGGAATCGGCCCACTTCACATATCCATCTGCAATAAATGAATGTGGTATATAACCACGATTCTGTCAGCGTCAGACTGCAAAGGTAGTAGGATCGGCCTGATGAAACATCAGAAAAATTGGTTAGTCAGAGGTTAGTTAAAGCGTCTTCATCGTCTTTATCGCAAGGCTTCTTTTTGAACTAACGGCTTCTGCTTTGATAGGCCTGAATGAACGTTGAAATGGGGTGATAGGCCGGAACATATGCTTACCGGACTGCCAGCGTGATCAACCAAATCATTAAGTTCTGGAGTCAGTTTCAGCCTTACAAACTGGAACCTTCGTTGGTCAGATGCTGACTATAGTGCAACCCAGATTGGGCTTTCCAAGCGCCCTCTGGGACGAGCTATCTACACCGTTCAAATTCTGGAACGCAGACACCGGCTGACGGTCGATCATCTACATAGCCATACTGGCCATCATGATGGTGTTAGGAAATCACTGGAGAGGATGGTCGTGTTGCTATAATGTCTTCAGAAAAACCTTTGTGAAGGTTGAGGTGACTATACTTATCTAGTCTTAATATCCGTGACACCCGCGCCGTCACAGCTTTACATTGATACTACTGTGCACCCACAACCAATTCTGAGTCGAACATCATGATGTTGTGTTTTGCGCGAATGAAATCAGAGTTCCGCGATTCGTGGAACGCTAAGTTCACATACAAGCCCTACTAACGATAACAAACAAGATAAGAGAACGAATCAGGACATAAAGATGAGCGGCCACAAACCATATTTTTCAAGAATCAATGTTGAAAACTGTGCCTACTATAGTTATCTGCACACCCCACACCGATATATAAGTGAATTTAGCCGCCGATTGAATATTGCTAGTGACCCCATTTACCTCAGGATACGCCTTTGGATGCCAACAGGTTAGTTGAGCGCAGATTGCGCTCAAAGTTCGGTACTAGCCATGTGGCTGGGTCAAGGTTAGGCAACATCGGGAGTAGGCCTTCAAGTAACAGCGCACAAACATGCCATTGGCTAGACTATGTCCAAGCTGCGCAGGTAAACTTATAGGCTTCGATCAATGACAGTTTATAATGACATCAGCAAAAAGTTCTCATACTAACCTAAGTGTAATATCATTACAGTAACTGCGACTGCCAGTAGGTCACAAAAGTCATGTATGAACATTGAAAAGTACTAGTCAGCTAAAAGCTAGAGAAATGGGAGGACAAGAGTGGCATATGTGAGAGACCGAGTGAGTGGCAAGTATGGTTGTAATATATCACAACAAAATTTGCGAGATACAGGAAAAGCTAGTGCCAGATTCTGTAAAAAGAGCTTTGTATCTGGAAAGATCTGATATATTCACATGGATTTGCGTTCGGGGCTTGGTAACAACGGGACAAGCCTGGTTTTCTGTATTTCCGGGCCCATGGTGGCAAGGTACCTGCAATTCCAATCGGGTTGAGTGATGCGACTACCAATGAGAAATTCATATCACCTCTGAGATTCATAGCTCCAAGAATGGTTTCCTCGAGCCCATATTGCTGTCCTGTCAAGATACTCTTTGACTAGGACGTCAACGGAAGGTCCCCACGAAGGAACTTTTGAAAGACCGTCGATGAATCGTTTCTGAATTTCGGTGTGATAGTGCGCTGCCCAGGCCATTGCACCGCTCACGTCAAGGCCAAGGTCAAACATAATAGTACTGATGATGTTATGGCCTTCGTTCCCAATTGCTTGCTCTTTGTTGTACGATATCATGTCCTGTTGAAGATCGTGAGCGTACTACAAACTAAGACGTCCTCCATACCGATTTACATTGTCGATCAGAACTAAGTCTGTGATACATTCAGCAAGATCCATGATGACGGGATGGTAGAACACTTCATCAGGAAGGTCAATTGCCATCTCCAATATTGGGAAAGAAGGTATTACGCCAACAGTTTTGCGCCGGAGTTTCAAGTAGTCATCGAGACTGCGCCTATGGTCTTGTCCACGATCAAGAGCCTCGGCAACCACTGAATAAAGGTATGCAGGAAAGGTCTCGAGGAAGTGACGTTGGGAAGACAAGCTTGCGGATTTGATCGCGCGAGCCCAAAATCTATTCAAAACCCCTTGAACTTCAATGATCATCAAACAATTCAGAAGCATTTACTGTCGCGCAATTTCGCCCAGAATGCATTCGTCTTCTGGTCGTTTCTTATGAGGATTGTGTAGGGCATCGAACACGATGTCCGCCATATTCTTCGTGAGTGCATCATTTTTGAAGTCGGTGTACTCGTCGTAAATGAAAAATAAATTCATCAAATCACAAGCAATTCGAAAGTGTTCTATTTTTTCAGAAACGGAATCAGGGTCATGCGGTGCGTCAATGGCGAGAGTACGAACCTCGTGGTGCCTTGGGATAAAGCAGTGCTGTTAAGAGGGCTATAAGAAAAAATGTGTTAAATCATCGTCTGAATCTAGGGCTCGTGATATAGGTCGAACCAAAATCACACTTGTCGAATGCTTCTTGTGATTTAGGACTCAGTGCCTTGAAATCACGGAATGAAGCATCGACTTCAGCTTTCACATCTTCGTAATGAGGATTGATGGTACGAGGCCAGGGCCAGTTGACCATGGTGTCTGGGAGGTATATCGTCTTTTGGCGAGCATCCATGACTTCCGAAATATAGTTTCTGATGAGGAATGAAAAAAGTTGAAAGAGGGGCGGATTGTTGCTGGTCCAGTCAAGAGCTTCCCGCAGAACTTATATACGTGCCCAGGTCAGAATCGGCCCATTTCATATATACATCCGGAATAAATGAATGCAGTACGTTGTACTTATCCGACAACGGCATGTGTGACCACCATGCTAGACCGTAAAGGTAGGGTCCGAGGCCTTGTAAAAAAGGAGAAAATTTGGTTAGTCAGAGGTTAGCCAATACTATCGGCTATCACAACTTCGGTCAACCGCCAGGCGTACCGCATCCGCCAATTGTTCGTCAGAATTTGTAGAAATTCGCACCGAGGTGGGACCTCCACGGGTCTATGTTTTAAGGCGTATGACGTAGAGCTTGAATAAAACCAGTGACCAGATAAAGACAAGGTACGCGTATAATTACGCGTTACGGCTTATGGCGCTCACTCGCTTAGTAAGCACTAGTTTGAGCTCTATGCTCGCAGGCTCGCGTTAGAACTCAAACTGCACGCTTACTATATGCTGCGTCTTGCTGAAGCTGACTAAGGCAGATCGTTAGACGATGTTAGCGCGAGAATGTGCGTTCAGGTTCTCTGAGTGGCATTAAACGAACGGTGTGTATAGTGCGTATGTCTAACGATCTGCGATACAAGTTTTAACTTATAAAAGTAAACAAAGAGTTAAAGGTTAACGTGGTGCTATGCTTTAAACGAATTTCGCCAGTTGGGGGGAGGGGTTTCGGTTGTTTTACTCGGTGATTGCCGAGTGGAAAGATGCAGGTCTCCGAACGAGAATGGTGATGTCTCTGCGTACTCAGGGATTGAATCAGAACTTGAACCAGGTAAACGCGTTTTCGACGATCACGTGATGTGCTAGAAATGATGCGTTTGCGTGAGGTTTTCTAAGCTCTGGATCCTGACCGAGAGACTGCCGAAACGAGACCGCAGACTGCGAGAAGAAAAACAAAAACAACCGAATCCTCGAGTGTGAGGTATTTGGATTAATGATTCGGAAACACGACCAAACCCAATCCGAGCAAAGCTTACAAATAGTCGTGTTCGAAACATACGACTCCCCAAATGCGAGCAAAATTGCGCTGGATTGAACAAACGGAGTGACAATATGTACGAATAACTAACTATAACGACGCGCGTATGAGTCCATTGACGAATTTACCATAGCTGTACGTGAGTCTGAGAATGAGGAAGTAACGAAAAGAGGCAAAATTGATTCGATCTTGCGCCAATATTCTAGGAAAGCCCGTTGGACCGGGGGTCCCAAGGCATAGACTAAGGGAAGAGACATAGACAAGAGGCAGTTGGTCCTTCGGCGATAGCCATAGCTTAGTCAGCGACACGCGCACATAGCCAAACTCTGTTCATAGTGTAGAACGACATCACGCATCATCGAGTTCTCCCCTCACTGCTTTCGTCCTAGTCCATTGTGGTGAACAGAGGGAATCTGAACCAGCGCGATATTGCATCACACACTTATCACACAAAAAAGCACGCAGAAGAAAGAAGCATTAGCTCGCGGTCTAGATTTTAGTCATAGAATAGAACACAGAAGCTCCCAAATAGAAGCTAATGAACCATTTACAGAAACATACAGTCTTATTACGTCGCAACTCATATCAAAAACAACACCAATTACAAAAAAAGAGCAGTGTTCATCTTACTCACATTTATGTTTATATTTGATGCCCAAAGCTAACAAATTGAGACCCAGAACAGCAAAAGGACAAGCGGTAACCAACATTCATTTAAAAACGAACTGGGAGCTCTGGTCAGAAGAGACATCAGCAGCATCATCTCCTCTCGATACACCAGATCCATCAGGGCATAACACGCCAAGTCACTGTAGCACATTGTCACTAAGCAGCCTCTCAGAAGAAGACGAACAGCAGAACAATTTGGTCCCGTTCCCAGAACTACTAGAGGTCCCAAAATTAGACATCTACATACCATCGTTCGAAGGCCAACAACCGCATCGTCACATGAAGACAGAACAGCTCACATCCATTTCCACAGTACTGAATTACAATCTAGCTGAATTCTTTGCGCTTGCACAGTTAAAAGCCTTCATGCCTGTAGAGACCCCACAGATATTTCACGGTGATGGAAGAGCATCAGAAAATCCGGCGGATTTCCTGAAATCATTCAATCGAGCAATGCGTCAGCAGACGATAATGGACAGCGCCGACAAATTAGACGCTT